TATCTTTTATTTATATCAGAATATGATCTTTCTGTCTCATGTTGGTGTTAAGCTATGATCTTTAAACTGGAAGAGCATTAGCGAATTTTAGAATACAGTCTGATTTCATCTAACACAATTACCTTTCGATGTGACGGGAAATAAATGAAGAATTGCCACGCTTGTCAGGCGGGATGACAACCGCAGTTAGGCTTTAGTCATGTTTAAAGATGGACGCTTCTGCCCATTCTTTGACCATCATGTTCTTACGACACACATGGGAAAGGAAAGGGTAGCCTATTCCATGTTGGGACCACGCGATGATCACACAGCGACTGTTTAATATGTCCTATAGTATTTATTTGTTATTTTTACAACGCAAATAAATGTTTTGTTTAAATAAAAAATAGATATGAATTCCTGAATAATATGTATACACAAACAGTAGCGGAAAACAGTACACATAAGTGGGAAGGCTTCCACCACACTTCAATCCCTCCGATATGAGCGTGGAGGGACGACTAACTGGCGTCTAGTTCACATGGAGCCAATGAATAAATTTTCGCACTGCACCGCTCTAGAACAATGTATGCAGGAGCACAGTGTTGTTAGCGTGCACCTGTTTATGTTCAATTTAAACAATCCTGCTGTAGACAGCGTACGTGGGAACGTGAGAATGCTTACTTGCAAGTATTTTTACTTTATAGAGATAGATTTTAGACCAAACGTCATATACTACCTGTATCCGACGCCTTAGCCAGGGTAAACAAGATAATAAAATAATCCATGTGTTAAGTTCTTTTATGCAACTTAGAATGGCAAACAAGCTGATGGCCCACCTGATAGAAAGTGATAACCGTCGCCTATAGACATGAGCAGTACCATGGACATAACAGAGTATACTGTTTCACCCATGATACCCCTCATACCTGAGGACTCAGGTGTTATTCTTCTGTACATTATTGCATGAATTACATCTCCATATGCGTTTTAAAACAGAATTTTTATCATGCCTCCAATCAAACTGTTTATAACTCTTCTCCATCCAAAGGTTGCCTGGAAGAGATTGCTTTTATAGATAAGGCCGTCCATTGTTTTTTCACTGTTATTATTTCTTGTAATTGTCTGTATTTATAAGTTTACTATTGTAATCTTTTGGAGGAAACAATAAAGAGTATCTATCTATCTATCTATATCATAGTGTACTAAGGTTATAAAGCATCGCACATCAGTTAAAAAAAAAGGAAATGATACACTATATCAATACGACTTGACGCCTATGCGGCTAACAACTCACAAGATCTTTGCTTTCTGTACTCGTTGTAGCATGATATTTGACACTAACGATCAATTATTTCGGTCTGGTATTCTAAATTGAATCCTAGCTGTAATAATTTTGCAAACTAATTGCTTTTGATTTTAATTATTAATGGTGGTTTGATTTAACATAAAACCACATCGAATTTGGTACACATGATTATAAAACATGGCACGGTTAGAAACAAATATCAGATATATAGATATATATCGTATATATATATTCAAACTTTGAAAATTCCTTATTTAATGTTAAGTATTAGAAACTTATATATATATATATATATATATTTGTTAAATAATGTATACAACCTTATTGTATATCAATATTAACTCCACCATAATACTAAAGGTTATTATATTAACCAATTTTTTTATACAACTTAGAATGGCAAACAAGTTGACGGCCCACCTGATGGAAAGTGGTAACCGTCGCCTATAGACATGAGCAGTACCATGGACATAATAGAGTATACTGTTTCGCCCATGATACTCCCCCATGCGTTGCCATTCCTAAGGACTCAGGTGTTATTTCTCCGTACTCAATAAATTCACGCCATATCCCACCCTTCGAACCGAAACACAGCAATGCAAACACAACTGCTTTACGGTTGAAACACGAATGTGACAGAGGTACCCAAGCAATCGACTTTTGTACAAAGTCTCTCTCTGATAAAATTATTAACCTATTTAGTTAAAAGTTCTAAAACTACGACAACTGTACCCATTTAAAATTATAATATTAATATTAGTAAACTAAAAAACTACAGTTATGTTTTTACGAATAAATCTCATTTCATTTCACTTATTAAAAAACTAACTTTGAGTAAACGCCTATATAGTCTGCAATCAAAAGACTAACATACATTTACAGACTTGACCCATTAACATGTATAAAGATGGGAAGTGAGATGAGCATATTCATAAAGCAGACGGGACTCACAAAGTCGGAAGACTTTTTAACAGACGAGACAAAGAACTGGCTCGCGACCTGTCCCAATTTTTGTATGGAGAAAAGATTTTAAGATTCATTATACTTTAATATACTTAAAAAAGACTAATTTACAGTACGGAAATAGTGTTAATGTGTACGTAGAGTACATAATAATAATACATAATAATATCTTTTATTAACATAAATACACAAATAAACACACGCATGAAGGGAAAAAATCTTACTAATTTTATGCGTTTTGTTTTGTTTTTTTTTTCTTTTTGTACATGTATCTTTTTTTATCTTTTTTTACTGTGCAACTGTTAGTAAAATTTGTTACTTTAACGCGTATACTGTTTCTTTCTTTAAATATTTATATGCACGGCGCAGTATCATCATGTTGAGTGTTCACCACATGTTGAACAACAACTCAATCGACGAATAACTCAGATCATCTGGGGGGAAAGGGATTGTTAGTAATGGATACTGAGAATCCCATTGCTAGCAATATACCCAACCAGGTCGACCTCCTCGCGGTTCCCCCTGGAAACTATCATGGTTAATTCCTGATCAATTCATCATGATGGGCTAACTGGCCTGTTTTCATTCTCATCTATCACCCTTCACTGGTGCTCCGCCAGCGTATCCCGTTAGCGCAGGCGGGGTTACCATACCATTTTCACCCATAAAAAAAAATAAAAACTCAGATCATACCATTAGAGATTGTAGAACATATTTTGTGTATAAAGAACTAAACGCAATCACCATAAATAATCATATTTTACAATATGGCTGTAGGAAAAGCAGGCAGTCACATAGGCTGCTATCTGGTTAAAGATGAGATTACAGATAATCTGAATAGTGCTACGGCTCTTCCATCGCGCCGCGGCTTTGTGCAGGGCACATTTAGGTGAGAGGCGGCCCTTGTAAAGGGGTAGGTCACATCTCGACACCATAGTGTAAAAATAGACGAGTATGTCAACTCTGGAAAGAAAGTACTGAAGAAAAATTTCTAAAAAGTGCTAACCAATAAATAGATTTTCAATACTCTCTTTATCACCATTCTGTTTGTAATAAATTTTGACGGATTTCGAAAGAAGGAAAAAATGTGTCTTTATGATTATTTTGTTATTCTATTTCACATAGATTGTTTCATCGAAGTATTTTTACAAAATGTCTCTTGTTTGAGTAAACAATTTGTCGCCCGTTACACAAATGAAAAATTTAATCTTAATTAATATTAATAGATATTTTTAGTACCCGTAACCGGCGGGCGTGTTTGACAAGATTGATGAATGTGGAAGAAGCGAAAGAGGTTTGTTTGAATCGAAGCATTTGGCGTTCCATTGTTTCTGCCTACCCTAATGGGAGACAGGCGTGATAGATATGTATGTACGTATGTATGTATTTTTTATTGACATCAACCATAAATTGTAGAAAAGGAAAACTTTTGAAAACCCTTATAGTAAATTCAGTACTATAATAAAAACTTCTTATGCCACTCTATTGGGTTGACTGAAAGAGATCTCTTTTAGAGATATGTTCACCTTTGCTCACATTATTTTTAATTTTTTTATATATATATATATATATATATATATATATATATATATATATATATATATATATATATATATATATATATATTAAAAGTATTAGTTTTGGACACCTGAATTAATTTTTAAATAAATAATTTACAAACACTTTTAATTTTAAATTTTAATTTATTACGAAGTTAAAAAATGGGAAAGAATTGTCAACGTTTTAAAGTACCAATCAATATACCATATATCACATTAAATTGATTTAAATGAATGTAAATTCAATGAATGTATCCAGAAATTAAGACACTTGCAACATTTCCGTCTGTGGCGAGGATAGAGCTGAGCGATATCGGGGTCAGGAGGCATCGGCAGGACACATGTCACTGTCAAGTGTGAACCACGTCGCCTGCGCCGGTATATACCGCGACTATTAGCTAAATATTCTATCGTTTTACTAAATGGTGGTGTAGAGTAATCAAGATGATAACTTGACCCCATCATTCAAGCCCCCATCATCATCATTCAAGATGAATGACATACATATATCATTAATGTTTAATTTTTACTTCAAAGGGTAATTGTTTATATCTAGACCAGAGGGAGACTTTGTACAAAAGTCGATTGCTTGGGTACCTCAGCCTCATTCGTATTTCTACCACGAAGCAGTTGCGTTTGCATGGCTGTGTTTCGGTTTGAAGGGTGGCAAACAAGCTGACGGCCTACCTGATGGAAAGTGGTAATCGTCGCCTATAGACATGAGCAGTACCATGGAAATAACAGAGTATACTGTTTCGCCCATGATACCCCCCCATGCGTTGCCATTCCTGAGGACTCAGGTGTTATTCCCCTCTACTCAATAATTTCACGCCATATCCCACCCTTCAAACCGAAACACAGCCATGCAAACACAACTGCTTCACGGTTGAAACACGAATGGGACAGAGGTACCCAAGCAATCGACTTTTATACAAAGTCTCTCTGGTAAGTCTCTCTCTTCCGCCTGCACTAATGGTATACATCAGTGAGAGACGATAGGTGAAGGTGAAACAGATCAGTCAGCCCATCGTGACAAATTCACTAATGAATCAATCACGATGGTTTCCAGGGAGACCCGCGAGGAGGTCGACCTGTGAGTGTATATTGCTAATAATAGTATTGCTAATCCCCATTACTAACAATCCCTTTTCCTCCCTATCTGGTGTATTTGGGGTTTGATTCCACGGTACCTTCATAAGATGCAGGTGTGTGGTGACAGTGTCGACGCGCGCCGCGTGCTCCCCGCCGCCCACCGGGAACGAGCCCAGGTACTGAAATAAACAACACAATGGCTACAATAAATACATTAAAGTCGCAAAATAAAATATATACGTATTGTATTGTATTGTAAAATCTTTATTGTACATAACTCAGATTAAACAATGGTAAATGATTTAATATACAATGGCGGACTTATCCCATAAAGGGATCTCTTACAGTCAACCTTTGAGAAGCTGAAAGAAAACTGTAGAATGTACAAGGGTAATAACCGTACAGTTAAAGATAAACTAAATAATACCCAGTAAAAAAATTGAATATATAATATAATAAAATCAGCTCTATATACCTACATGTGTAAATAATAAAAGTACATGAATAATAATATAACATTAATACATAAATAAATAAAAGCATAAATAAAAAAAAAGTGGATATATGTAATATATACATACACATATATATACATATATACACTCATACATAAGTATGCGTATTAGTTGTCTAGTGTGCGTAGAATAAGCTTATATTAGTATTTAGTTATATATCAGTGCTCCAAGTAATAGTCCAATAGTATTTACTTATTTTGTGACTAGATTTATCCTACTAATTGTTTTCCACCGCGAAACAGTTGTGTTTGACTCACAAAGAGATTATTTGTATTGGTCTGAGTATTATCCATACATATAATACGTATTTACTTAAAAAAATGTGTTGAAACACAAATATCAATTATCTAGTACTCATAATAAAAACTAGATGGCGTGATGCTTTTTTTTTGTAATGGATGATAATGGAATGGTAACCCCACCCGCGCTATCGGTATACACCGGCGGGGCACCAGTGAAGGATGATAGGTGAGGATGAAGCAGGTCAGTTAGCCCATCGTGACGAATTCAACAAGAATTGTTCACGATGGTTTCCAGGGGGAACCACGTGGAGGTCGACCTAATAGGGCATATTGATAGCAATGAGGCTGTCAAAATCCATTGCTAACAATCCCTTCCCCCCTAATTTTATAGTATTAGTAAAATTGTTCTTAATTTAAATTTAAAATAAAAACTTTTCATAAAAAGTTTTATGAATGCCACAAGCTGTTATGACAAAACGAGACCCAGAACTATCAGGGATGGGTCTTTCGACCTTTACGTAATGACGAGTTTAATTATTTAACTTCAAAACTAAGATCACACCTACGAGAGCAGTTATTCAGATAAACAGAGCTAAACTGCTGAAGTTCCAGCAAACGATTACCATCGTAGCCGTTTAGTTAGTTAGTTAAATTAAAAGGTAAAAACGGCTCTTTCGTTTCTCTTTTTTTATATTACTGTGGTGGCAAAGAAACACACAACTTGTCTGATGGTTACCTATGGAACGGAGTTACTTATGGACGCCTGTAATATCAGGGACGTCAAACAAGCGTTGCCGATCCTTAAGAAACCTTAATACACATTTTTTGGAAAACCCCATGCTGTAGCCCCTAGGGCAAGTCTCGGCAGGAAGATTATTTCACAACCTGCATGTTCTTTTTTTTTTTTATACAACTTAGAATGGCAAACAAGCTGACGGCTGATGGAATGGTAACCGTCGCCTATAGACATGAGCAGTATCATGGACATAACAAAGTATACTGTTTCGCCCATGATACCCCCCATGTGTTGCCATTCCTGAGGACTCAGGTATTATTCCTCTGTACCCAGTAAATTCACGCCATATCCCACACTTCAAATTGAAACACAGCCATGCAAACACAACTGCTTCACGGTTGAAACACGAATGGGACAGAGGTACCCAAGCAATCGACTTTTGTACAAAGTCTCCCTCTGGTTCGTTCGCGAGAGGAATCTCCTCTAATACTGCACTGTGCATAACCATTCTGAATCTAAGGTGTAAGAATGGATACCCTGCCGATTACGAGCAATACGATGATGAAAGCTAGCGGTAGGCATCGCATTGAAGAATTCTCATCTAGTTCTAGCCATTTTACTAGCAACGGCTACGAATGGATTGAAATAAAATAAAACATATCGTATCCGATAGATATTCTCCAGAGAAATAAAGGAGTGTGTAACCTCTTAGCGCACGAGGACGGAAAATGCACATAAAATGCGAATTCATAACGAAATTGTAATTTGTCTTCGTGATTTGGAGGATTTGTACAATTGGTAAAATGTTAACAAATATTTATATTCATTCAGTAGTAATGTTGAATAATTTTTTTTGTATATTTTTTTATGTTTGGTACCTCATATTTCCGTCAGGTAAAAATCAATTGGAAAAATTTGTATTTTTTTATCTATAAAGACATTTTTACAGATTCGTCTTATAGAAATTTTGTCAAAATAGACGCATGTCGTGGCGGCCTTTAATTGAGGCAGCATTTTATAATGTAACCTTATTATAAAGTATTTTAAGTAGATATAAATGTATACTTTGTTAGTTAACCTTAAATATATAAATAAAAAAAAAAAAAAAAAAAAAAACAAAATTAATAGCATTGCCACAACTGAAGTCGCCTTTTTTTTTTGTTGTGGAACACATTTTATATCATTTTACTTTCTTTTCCGTAGTCTAAATTAATTTATTATATTTAATAAAAGAGCCAATTGAAAAATGATTAATATATAACTTAGGTAGTATAAATTCTACTGCAAGTATACTAAATAGATTCTCTACTAAATAATTGAGTAGTAAATATATGTTTTTATTTTTCTTATTCATTCGCACATCTGTATTGTATTTAAGAATCTGTAAAAAGAGGTTCCAAATTCTCTTATATTTTTAATTATGAAAACGATAACTTTCGCTAGTTCTAAACCGATTTTGATAATGCTTTTTGCAACTAATAGGGTTTACCTATTCTCGTGTCAGTGTTCGAACTATTTTTACTTTGCAGAATTCAGTCTATACAATGTAACAGATTGAGCAATATTATTATTTTTTTTTATTACACAGGGTGCAAACGAGCATGCGGCTCACCTGACGGTAAGTGACTACCGCCGCCCATGATCACCCGCAATACCAGAGGCATTGTAGGTGTACTGCTGGCCTAACATAATAGGTATAAAATGTATTTTAAATATATTATTTCAAGTATTACAAGTAAATTCACTCTTACGCCACCTGCCCTTTTCTATCTGTTCTCCTTTAACCAAAGGTTCTCTGTAAGAGATTGCCCTAGCGATAGAATCGTCTTTTATACCTTTATGTGTATATTTCAATCTGTATTTATGTTACTGTATTTCACTTGATTTATTCACTTGTCATTGTATATTTTTATTTATGATGCAATAAAGAGTTAAATAAATTAAAAAAAAAAAATATTCCAGCAAATTAATATCACTGTAACAATATCAAATTTCTCAGTTAAATTTGACAAGTAATTTAACCTGCTATATCACTTCTACTTGGAAAGTTCACGAACAACAATTAGTGAGAACCTCAATATAATCAGATCCATTTAATTATCTCAGATTAATATCAAGACAGTGTCTGCTCTTCTCATTTGAACATTATATATAGATAGATACTCTTTATTGTTTCCTCCAAAAGTTACTCCAATTGCGATTAAAGTTTAGAGCCAAATGTTAAGTTTAATAGTCTTACTATTAAGTATCAGTACTTAGTGAATTAACAGAGTATAGAAGAATAACACCTTAGTCCTCAGGGATGACAACGCATGGGGGGTATCATGGGCGAAACAGTATACTCTGTTACGTCCATTGTACTGCTCATGTCTATAGGCGACGGTTACCACTTTCCATCAGGCGGACCGTCAGCTTGTTTGCCATTCTAAGTTTCTTAAAAAAAATTGTAAAGTCGTCAAGAGGTAATAATTACTTATATATTAATATGTATTCACGTATAATCTAGAAGTCTTCAAGAGACGCAAGAATAAGCATCTAGTAAACCGACATAACAGTGACAATGGTTGAACTAAATTCAAGTTACTCGTAGAGTGATCTTGTTCATGGACTTATACATTAAATCTCGCTTCTATTAGAATTTTATGTGACGTCACATGTCGAGCTATATAAAAAAAATATGTTAACTAAATGATCACATTAATTCACGTCTTCTATGAACCTTACACAATAGTTTCTAAATTTAAAAAACGCTTATAATTTGTTGTTTGTCTGGTTAGCATATTTATTTTTTCAGATATCTAAAAAATTTATAACTTTGTGTTCTACGTATACATGTGTATATGTATGTATATGTGTGTATGTATATATGTATAAATGTGTGTATACATATAATAGTATATAAGTATGTATGATAAGCAGGGATATATATTTACATTATTACATGTATCACATCTCTATATTTTAGAAATAATAGAACTTCATCGTGCCTCCGATCAAACTGTTTATAATTACTCCTCTCCATCCAAAGGTTACCTGGAAAAGATCGCTTTTAGCGATAAGGTCGCCCATTGTTTTCTCACTGTGATTATTTCTTGTAATTGTTTATATTTATAATATGTTACTATTGTAATCTTTTGGAGGAAACAATAAAGACTATCTATCTATCTATCTATAATTTTATTATTATATAAAGCACCGTTTCCACCTGTATTCAAGACGAAGTCAGCTCACGAGTGCTCCAGTCAGAGTCTGTTATGGTTTAATTAAGCTTAGTGCGGATGACGTTCGCAGGAGGGGCGAGTGGGTATACGAACAAGACAAATGTTTAATTAAAACGTCCCGTGTACTATGTTGGCTACACACAGTGTACTAACTGACTTACAGATTAAATGGATATATTATAAATTAACATATTGTGTCAATGTTAAGCTTTGCAATTTTTGGCGTTAACAGTTTACTGCTAAACATAGACTGCCATAAAGAACGGCCTCGAGTCACCTGCATTTGACATATGACAGTGAAATTACAAGGTACGGCGACATAACACCTTAGACCTCAGGAATTAGAATGCATTACGAATATCTTGTGCTTAACAGTATATAGCGGTGTATCATGGGCGAAACAGTATACTCTGTTGTGTCCATGGTACTGCTCATGTCTATAGGCGACGGTTACCACTTCCCATC